TGGAGTAATACGACATGCACTAAACTAAGGACACGCGATATACCACAATAGAACAAATTACTGGACGCAGTGGTGTTAGGTCCCTAACAGAGAAAAAAAATGGTGTAAAATACCTTTTCTAATAATGTCTTAGTTTATTATTTTGTGTCTCACATAATAAGACGGTCCTGGCGAAGTGGCTAGCCTCACAAAAAGCTGCCTCGCACAAATTGTTTTGCTTTCAAAATTAACTTCGTTAATAAATTTTGTCTGTATTTTTTTGTGCATCGATCATTGTAATTAAAAATCGGCGGCGACCCCGGCGTAGTGGTTAGCATTCATACCTCTCACGCCAAAGTCACGAGTTCAAATCTCATGAATGACACTGATGAAGGCTGCACATTGTAGTCGAAATACGTATCTGTCATGGATACCAAAATTAATTAAGTGGAATTAAATGGAAGATAATCCCTTTTTTGCTGTTTTATTTAAGCATTCCGCTAACAACCCAATTTCATTACTTCATTATGATGGCTACCAAGCCTTTGGGATTTTCCTTATTAGAGTGTTGAATAGATTTTTTCCTTAAATCTTTGGTTTTAATTAGTTAGGTAGGTTCCGATTCAACACATTGTAGTTTCATTTTTATACCTGTGATCTTGACTTTTATACCTAGGGGATGAGTACTTAAGGGGATTAGATTTTGAAAAGTTCTTTAGTGGGAATGACACTGATGAAGACTGCACATTGTAGTCGAAATACGTATCTGTCATGTATACCAAAATTAATTTAGTGAAATTAAATGGAAGATAACCCCTTTTTTTTCCTTTTTTTATGACAAGAGTTGAAATTTTGTGTGTAGCGGGGATGATGAATTCGTTGAAAAACAGTGTCGATTTTATCTCTTGATCCAGAACACATAAAATGTGTATTGATATTAAAACAGACGTATACAACTACCCTGCCATTATTGTTTTCAACTTTACATGATCACTCTAGAATATTACATTTTTAAATACCTTATTTTGCACGCAAAATGGGGATTCCAGAGCATCATCCTACTTAAACAGTATTTTGATTACGATTTTAAACAGAAAAATCCATGCCATGTATCCTAATTTTTGTACACGAAAAAAGTTGGGACTACATATTTATTTCTGTGGATACCGTAAGGTACTGTAACAAGTTTGCTACCTAATAAAATTGTCCCAAAAATTAACAATTTTGACGTAGGATTACGTCTTTCAGCAACATATTGGGAGGAGCAATTTCTAAAAACCAAAATCGACCGCGTTACGAAAAGTGGTCAGGTTTTAACTCTGCCAATAGAGGATAGAATTTGATTCTAAACAAGTCAATCGATTGTAATTTTTTCTACAATTCTGCTGAAATGAACACCTTATCAATTTTCTATAGGTCACTATAGAAAATGACACAAATGTCCAACTGTTGTAATGGTGATCAAAATCATTACCGATTTCCTGCAAAAAAGTGGTTTCCCTAATACAGTCGCCGAATACTTATATCTAGCATGTAATCCTACGTCAAATCTACGGTCGTGTCTTGGATACAACCTCTTACTTTTTTTACACAAGCAAACTCGTTACAGAACCTTACGGTATCAAAACAAATAATCCTGTCCAATAATCAGGCATCCATTTGTACTGCTCCGATGAGGCATTGTTCTAAGAAAAATTAAGTCGGCAAAGGCACAGCTACAAAGCAAGACCATGCTGGAGGTGGCTGGGTTCGATTCCCGGTCCGGTCTAGGAATTTTTCGGGTTGGAAAATTTCTCGACTTCCCTGGGCATAGAGTATGATTGTACTTGCCACACAATTATACTAATCCAAAAATAGTACAGGCATCGAAAGCTCTCAATTAATAACTGTGGAAGTGCATCTAGGACACTAAGTTGAGAGCACGCAATAAGCTAATATGCCATACGCAAAATGCGAGGAAGAAGAAGAAGAAGACTGGGGGATCGAAAACGCCGCCTCTGACTTGGTAATGCCGAACCATTACTGACTAGACTAGGTTTTCAACTCAGCTCCACGAGATCGGAAAAGGTGATTGAGATTGAGGTGATTCCAAAAACGTAAAGTTAATGGACAAAAATTTGTAAAAGTAACCCTCAAATATTAATGCAGATTTGAAAAGTGCTATAAACTTTCTAGAACAATTGATCAAGGGTTTATGATTTGAGTAGCTCAAAATAATTTGGTGAGCGACTATGTTGCGTGACGTTACAACGTTTTGCACTTCTCAGCTGAACGACTCAACAATTGCTCACCAAAACGTTTTAGGCTACGCAAATCAGAATCTATTGAAACATTTTTATAGGGAATTTAACGCACTTTCCAATGTTGTAATAATATGTAAGGGTTACTTTCATTTTTATTCAGTTACAGTATAAAATCTGTACAAAATAGGAATAAAAAACCGTTATAACGTCACGTAGAATGTGTCAGATAAAGCTTGATTCATTTTATATCTGGACGCACTGTTTATTTTACTGCAGTGCTCCTAGCAGTCGGATCTGGAATGTTTTGACAGCAGTTTGTTTTTTTTTTTAATATATCAATTTATTTGTACAGGCTCAATCGAATAAACTTTACAGAGCCGAGTTATCATTAGCATTATACATGATTAATGTCTTAAATCTAGAATTAAAGGAATTGAACCGATTACTCGCGGTCGTCTCGAGGTTAGTGGAGATTTACAAATAGCAGTTTGTTTTGAAATGTTTCTTTTTTCAGTGTTTAAAAGTTCGTCTCGATTCATTTTGTTAAAAAAGTAATACTTGATGGAACCCGCGTGCCGAAAATTAATTTTGGACATCCACTTAGAAAATCCGACGTAACCGGGTTCAAAAATCGTGAACTCGTTGAAACTGGCTAAATCGACCATGTGCAGTGTTCTCAAATGTTTCCGTGAGCGGCATACTATCGATCGGCAGGATCATAGCAAGCGTCGTAGTGGAACTAAGGATCGGAAGTTGCATTTGAAGGTGTTGAGAACGGTTCGGGCAAACCCAGGGCTGACGCTGTCGGATTATGATATCGCCAAGAAATTCAATGTCAGCCAAAGCACCGTCAGAAGGATTTGTCAGCGAGAAGGATTTCGATCTTTTCGGCCAATAAGCAACCAAACAGGACACTGAAGCAGAATCTAGTGGCCAAGAGACGTGCCTGGAAGTTGTACAATGAGGTTCTTACAAAGTACGAAGGATGCATCTTCATGGACGACGAAACGTACGTGAAGATGGATTATGGTCAGCTTCCCGGACAAAAGTTCTATAAAGCCACTGGTTGAGGTGATATCCCTAGAAAGTCCAAATTCGTTTTTGCCGATAAATTTGCAAGAAAGCTCATGATCTGGCAAGGTAGCTGCAGACAAAAAACCCAGGTTTTCGTGACAAACAAGACTATGGATTCCAAAATGTACAAACAGGAGTACCTGAAAAAAACGTATTCTTCCGTACATTAAGGCTCACCTGTAAAGGTTTGGCCTGATTTGGCAAGCTGCCTCTACATCGTAGAAGTTCTACAGTGGTATCGAGACAACGGGGTAGATTTCATCGAAAAGGATATTAATCCACCCAACTGCCCTCAATTCCGCCCAATTGAGAAATATTGGGCCATTGTCAAACAGAAGTAAGAGAAGAGTCGAAAGGTGACTTGGGATGCGATAGAGATGAAGAGATGGTGGAACAAAACTGCCGCTCAGATTAGCCAACAGAGTGTCTTAAATATGATGAGTGGTATTCGAATAAAAGTTCGAGATTTCATTAAAACGGAAAATCGGAATAATTTGTTTTCCTATTTCTTCCTTTAAAGTGCAATAAATGACCTTTATTGTGAGGGTCAACATTTTTATTTTATTTAGATGGTTCCGAGATACATCCGTTTTTATGCTTGCAGATTTTAAATGAATACCTTTTTCATATTCCTTGTATGAGAAAAGCACGTGTCACCGCTAGATGGAATAATTTCTTTTTTTTTACTGACTTGCCTATGAATAAAAGCCTTTTGATTGAAGTTTGCAGCAGTCGCTATTATCTATTATAAAGATACTGCATCACAAATCATATTAATCCAATCTTGAAACACATGTGCCATATTTTTTAGAGCCTCACCTCCAAAGGTTCGCAATTTATATTCGAGACGCATCATTTAATGTCACATGCGTGAGATTGAAGTTAACAGGATTTTTACGGTGCATTGAATGCGCGGCAAACAGAAACTGACGCTCCCTACTTCCTTCTGAGGTAACCGGAAGGAAAGGCAGCAGTGACATAAATGTATCTTCGGTCCCTTCAGATCTTCGAAAAGAAGGAGCACTCTGATCCATTCTACCACCATCATCATCATCATCATCATCATCATCGGGAGCGCGTATGTGGAGTGACTGGTATGAGGACAAAGTTCACACACTTATTTCGCGCTGGGGACGTAAAATGATGATACGTGAACGAGCTCGAGCGAGTTCTCAAAAAGAGGGCAAGAGGTGCGACTTTTTTCAATAAAAGGATCGTGATTGGATTTTCGTGCTTTGTAAAAAAGTGTTAATATACGTGTATAAAAATGTGCTGCGTATCAATATTCAGCATAACCAATATATTTTATGACACTTAATGCGTGATTCGATATTTATTTATTGGGATCTTCTACTCTTTCAAGATGCGGAAGAGGTGTATTCACATCGTGGTAGTATACCGGGATTGTTGTTGTTTATGTTGTATAGGTAGGAGAGGGCTTAGCCAATGAAGCAAAATTTGATAGATTTGTGTTTCAAAACATTTTCATTCGGTTACATTACCAATATAGCATCTTTACAGGAGTGCTGCGACAAGAGTGTTTATTGAATTTGGTGGAAAATTATGGTTTTAAATCGATACACTGCGTTGTTGCGCTGTTCTAACATATTGGGATTTGGCATAGGATTGAAACAAAAGGATATTTGGCGGGTGAAAAAGGATTAAGAGAAATGAAAAAGTTTAATTCTAGGGAGCTGGTTTTACCTGTAAATTACTAACTTGCCTCCGTATATGCGCTAAACTAGATGGGTTGCATGCCATGCTGGCGAACACTAATCGTTCCTCGTAGTCGTATTCACATAAAATTTTATTATCACATAAATAAAAACGGTCGCCCACGCAGAACCTGGAAGCAAGGAGATTGAAAAAAAAAACGGTTAGGACATATTTCGGAAAATTTTGCAAGAGGAGTAATTATTATGCGCAGAACAATTCATAATTTATATTAATAGGGTTCTGTTGTTGATGCTTATCAGTTATAAGTAGCATGATATTCCTCAATATAATGTTACTGACACTATTCACTTCTATTGCCGATTTCTCGTATATGAACATTAGGGTGTTTCATTTTGAAAAAAAAAAGTAATAATTTTCTTATAGGCCACTCTGTAGTTGGATTCAAAACCCCAACATTTTTATTGATTTATTTATTTGGACAAGCAAAGTAGACTACATACAATGTTTATAATGTTTTACTCGTACATGCTATTCATTATTTCTATTTCCTCTGAGTCGAGTTTTTATTAGGTTTTTGGAGATGTCAATTTCTACGAAATTTATGCTATACAGGCGCATCATTCGATTTATGTGACCATTTTTTGGGTAATTTGTTATGCATGTGTTTTCATAGAATAATTTTCGAGTTCTAGGAAGTCTAAAGGGTGCATACAAATTTAGCTGAGAGAGAATAGCTGTAGATTGTATGCGATGAGAAATAATTTCATTGATAAAGAACAGCATTACAAATTCACGCCATTTCTTTAGTGTTTGTAGATTGATGAGCATGCAGCGTGCTTCATAGGATGGTAGAGGAAATGCAGTCCAATTTAGTCGTCGAAGTGCATTCAAAAGAAATTGTTTTTAGACAGATTCAATGCGTTCTTCGTGTATGGTAGTGTATGGGCTCCATACTATATGGCAGTATTCCTGAATGGGTCTTAGTGTTATGATGTTCTACAAATTTAAGTTTGGTGTCCAGTTTAACGCCTAAGTCCCTTAGCATTTTAGATTTGTCTGCTATTTTGTTTCCTTAATGTATGTTTATGCAAGAGGTTCCAATTTTGACGTAGGACTACGTCTTTGATTTCTATATGGGGGTACACTTTGTGAAAACCGAAAATGGAACATGTAACAAATTAAGAAAGATTTTGAACGTTAACAACTCAGCTGCCCCTGGTCCAATTTCAATAGTTTTATCACCAATCGATCAGAAATATGGCTACGCATCGATAACAATTCTTCCGAATGTTGATTTTCAACAAGAAACTATTGAAAAACTGGTAAATGTCCAGCATTGTCAAAAAGCATCGAATTAACTAACAAATCCACCAATTACCTACATGCATATGCTGCTTCCCCAGCACAGTCATTAGCGAGTAGTAAGTAGACGAAACAAGTCGAAGTGGCATTCGCTTCCGATCCTCGGGCGCGTGCGAATAGGGAGGATGGAATTGCGTAATATTTTGCACACTCATCGCCATACTCAGAACCACACGCTCCCAACGACCACACCACCGTGTGGTGGTGTTCGATCGTTGAAATTAGTAGCAGCAGTAGCAGTGCTTTTGGCGTGTGGCGTTGAAAATTGTTCTCCAGTAACAACGAAAAGCTGCCTGCAAGCAGCGAGCTGCAGAGCCCACATAAGCAACCATCAAAGGAGGAAGAAGCTGCATCGCTATGCTATGGATCGGAATCACTAGCTCTTCGTGAGTCGCTGCGGGTCGGTTATCTATGCCAAGCGTGTCACCCGCGCTCCAAACGACATACAGCTCGATAGCCTCATCCGTGTTAAACTAGCTAGGATTTGTTTTACTTCATATTTCACAAAATTGCTTTCGAGTGTTAAGACATCGTCTCCCGCAAAGTTTACATTTTTCCCTCTACCAACACATACATCAGGGCTAGATAGATCTCCACAGGATCTATAGAATCCACGCAATTTCAAAAAACCAAAATGCACAGCATTACGAAAAGAGGTCAGGTTTCGACCAACAGCAGATAGATTTTAATTCTAAACAAGCCAAACGATTGGAAATTTATCTATGTACCAATCTGCTGAAATGAACACTTAGTTAATTTTTAATAGATCACTATTGAAAAATACCAAATGTCCAACTGTTGCAATGGTGATCAAAATTATCACCGAATGTCTGAAAACAGCGCATTCCCTAACACAGACTTAAAAATCGAATTCGATGCGGTCCCACTGAACGGTGCGTATTCAATCACCGTAAGTGGTGGTGTCCAGTCCAGCAGCAGTAGTAGCAGCAGCAGCAGCAGGAGTGCTTTTAACAACAACAACGAAAGGCTGCCTGCAAGCAGTGAGCACACAACTCATATGAGCAACCATAGAGAAGGAGGAACAAGTCCCACCGCTAGGCTGGGATCGGAATCAGTAGCTCGCCGTGCTCAGCTCAGCATTGCTCAGCCATCATTACAAAACGGTCCTTTTCAGGACCACCATAAATTTGTTAAGAGTATTATTTGAACATTTGTCAAGGTCATCAGTTCCCGCAAGCAGCTAGCTATCAAGGCTCAACCTGGTCTCTATAGAAGGTGTGGATTTCTTGGCCCGAATGTATTGGTGAGATTAATCATCGTCCGACCATTTTCCAGAACACGCTGGTAGGAAGTATTAAAAATCCATATATAATTTGAGAGAAGTGGGAATAATTCGCTTTGGGTGTATATTCAGTCCCCAGAAAGCCAATAAAATCACATTTGCGAGAAAATTAGCTCTCACGAGTTCAATCTCTCGAAGTCCCTCCTTTTTTACATATTCTGCACAAACGATACTTTCCGCCCCGCCCCAATCATATAATTTGGAAGGAAATCCTGTGAGGGGTGAATTGAATACACTTTAATACCAAAATGCACAAAACTTAAAAAAAATCATAAATAACAAAAAATTCAAAATACACCTTTTAAAGTCGGGTAGATGAATCGAAAATACTCAAGTTGACAGTCCCTTGGATTCCCTTCATCAACTTTCTCTTTGAAATAAATACTACAAATTTGATACGCTTGCAAATAAAAAACGGAAAGAGTTAAAATTATTGATGATTGATCAATTAAAAGAACTAAATGTTCACATTTGTTGCGTCCACTAGCGGTCCTACGTCAAGCTTCCGTTAGTGCCCCTAGACACAGACCCTTCTACTTTTTCTACTAAATGTTTTGCGCTATTCTTGTCACGTCTTCCTTCGGAAGTGAATCAAAGCCGTTGGTCCCGGCCCATGTGTGTTGAATGGGTGTGATATCCTACGCAGGTTTGAAAGCTGCCTTCCTGCACATTTTATTGCCGCCAATGGATGGATTGCAGAACAGAGGCCGACGTTAAATAAAGGAAAGTTATTGCGCTACATTTTTTACGTTGAGTGGAGTAAACGTTTGCTACACTACACCAGGTGAAGAATAGATTTATTTCCTTCTGGAATATTTCTGCGTCGGAGTCATTTCTTATTTCTATGAAAAGCTTCATGTCGTCTGCATACACAACTACTTCAATGTTCTTAAGTATGAAGGAAATGTAATTTACGAACAAAATAAAAAGAAGTGGGCCCAAATGAGGTCCCTGGGCGACCCTAGAGGTGACTATAATTGGTGCTGAAAGTTTATTTGAAAGCGTACAATTTGCTTATGGTTTGTTAAGTAGGACTGGAACCACTTCAAAAGTTCGGCTTCCTTTCCTACTTTCTGCACCTTGAAGAGTAATAATGGTATGTTGATTCTGTCAAACGCTTTACTCAGTGTTCGGAAAAACTCAAAAGCTCAAATCTCAAGCATGAGTCTATGCGCCTATGAGTTTTGCCTTGCAAAATTCAACGTCGCAAAAATCACCGATGAGTTTTCAGTTTCAAAAATTCTTTGCTTTATATTTTGGCGTTATTCATTGTAATTACTATTGTTTGTGTATCAAGGGTTGGAAATCTAACACAACATGAATAGGCATGATATCAATTGTATTATTATTATTTAGCTTTATTAAGGAGGCTTTCAGTCTTGGGCTGGTTCGCCTCCAATGATATCAATTGACGTTTGAGTGGTTTTTATGAGTTTAAAGCTGGCATAATTTTCGGCGTTGTGAGTGTGAGTGCGTTAATATGCATGAGAGTCTCTAGCGTGAATTTCGTTTTCCGCATTCGCACGCGAGTTTATTCTCGCAGTGAGGCTCAATGAATGAGATTTGAGAATGATTTTCCGAACACTGGCTTTACTACAGTCAGTGTAGTAAAGAGAGAGAGCTTCTACGTGGTTGCCATTATCCATTGCGTTCAATGTAAAAGAGACAAACTCCAGAAGCAGTGCGCAAAACAGTCAGGTTCATTGAGTCATTTTGATATGAATATGAACTGCCATCTGCCTCATCATTCACTGCCTCGTGAGAGTCTGAATGATTGAGAGGTAAACGAGTCACTGACAGCCGAGCACTCAGTCAGTAGCTCAGTCTACACTTTTATTCTGCCGTGATGGTACCCAATATTTGTTTTGAATGACTGAGCGTACATTTTATATGGAAAAATGGCTCAATTACATGCTGTGTGAGCGAAGGCAAGCGGTGTGCGTCGCTTGCTCGTGAGTGACTGAATGTTTTTGTTGGTTCTTTCATTGCCTCGTCCTTTACCGTTTGGTACAAACGGTCTGCACAGAGCAATGGATTGAATAGACCTTTTTGACGTTTAATAGTCTTTCTCTATCTAGCACACATTAATGAATGAACGGTTTGTTTTCCCACTAATCTGTTTCCCTCTTGCTTGCACTCGCTTGATTTAAATGGTGCAGTAGTGTGCGCCGATTAAACGTCAAAAAGCTCTATAGTGCAGTGCTTTCACACTCAGCCTAGGCAGTCAATAATTTTACGCTCTGTCCAGAAGATTAGGAGCAGTGGAGCGGCCCTTGAAGAAGCAATGCTGTTGACTTGTTATTTGGTTTTTTAATTGTTGATTTTTTTGTCGTTTATGATAGATTCAAAAAGTTTTGGAATGCAAGAAATAATGGCGATTCCACGATAATTTCGGATGTCAGATTTCGTGCCAGATTTGAAAATAGGCACCATAAAAAAAGGCTGAGTCTATGCAAAAATGGTAAAGATTGATGAGGGTTTAGAGGTCCCGCCGATGGATTAAA